AAACAGACACAGCCGAAGCCTTCGGGCTGTTCCAGGTCTCTGGGTGGAAGCTGCCTGGGCAGCATCTGCCTGGTGATGAATCAGGTTGTTCCCAGGCCTTGACCTGGGCCTGGACTGGCTGGCGACCTGCTGAGCCCCGGGCAGCACGTGAGGGACAAGCCCTGGAGCGGAGACTTTCCAATTCCCTGGCCTGAACCCCTTCAAATTCCTGCAGCTTTACTCCTTCTGCAGTTCTTTATGATAAGATTTTCATCACTGACTGGCAAAAATAAGGATTTTATCAAGTTTGACTTTTTTTTGCGTTAGTTTAAAATTAGAAGAATTTTTGAAAGCTATTTTAGATATTGTGATAGTCCAGAAAAACTTTTTATGATCTTTGCTGATCATATCAGTCTCCTGTTTTAATAAGTCAGCACTTTTCTTTTTGTTGTGGCATCTCTCTGTGCATGGGATGACTGTAGAGCGAAGGGAGCTCTTTCAGGCTCCTCTTGTCGATTGCTGCTCTTGCCAATGGCCTTTAAACTGAATGCAGAGTTCTATAACTTGATGACAGATAAGTGTAACACTTGAGGGGTTTTTTGAAAGGTGAAACTACTGTCCCCACCTATGTTTCACTGCCTCATCAAAGAGCTCTTTGGTGCTAGGCCAGCATGTGTGTGTGTCTGTACATACATATGTATGTAGATGCACATACTCAGGCTTAGGCCTGAAGACTAGATATCAGTTTTATCTTATTTAGGACCCAGTTCCTCACATTCTAATTGCTTGGCTCATGCAGAGTGTAGACAAAGATTTTTCAGGTGTTGTAAGCATTCGTTATGTACCTTAGTGTTAAACCTCGGGAAATCTAAACACGAACTTTGCACTTCCACGAGTGACAGTTCTGAGGAAGCTGCCTATGACTTTGTTACTCTCAGCTGGATTTTCTCATGGCCTGTGTATGAACAGGCCCTTGCTGAGTTCTGTCACGTGGTCTGTCTGTCACGTTGTGTTTCACTGACATTCTTGCATACCAGATCTGGTGCCACCTCTGTAATTCTGCATGGGAGGATCGCTCGGGAACCTCTTCCAGACCCCAGAGGCAGTTATGAGAACCTAAGGCAGGTCCCTGCGCTGCTCAGTGCATCTGCTAGTGCAGCTGCCGTCGCTGGACAGCAGCTGGGACGTCTTCCCTTGGGGTGAGGATGCAGAGTGGGAGTCTCTCAGGGTCCATGATCATAGAGCAGCCCCTGGTGCATCTGCTGCAGAGAGGAGATGGCTGCTTATTGCAACAGGCCTTACCAGGCCTTCCTGTTTGGGTCATGCTGTTCATTGGCAGGGAATGTCTCCTGGGGAGCTCTAAAATCTCTCAGTGTCCATGATCATAGAGCAGTCCTCTCTGGCTGCAGAGAGGAGATGGCTGCTTACTGCAACAGGCCTTACCAGGCCCTCCTGTCTGGGTCATGCTGCTCATTGGCAGGGAATGTCTCCTGGGGAGCTCTAAATGGAAAAGCAAAGCAGCATCTGGTAGCTCCTCGTAGAAGAGGCTCCCAGTTGAGTTGCGTTGTTAGACCCTTCCCCACGCAGCAGGGTTACGAACCTGGGGAAAATGTCTATTTGAGCACAGTGAGTTTGCAGCAGTGGGTTGCAGTGTATGCCGGTTGCAGTGTTGGCAGCAGTGGTCAACATTCATGAAACGCTCCGTATGGATGTATTGATTCTTTCACTAGGAGACCGTGCACACCTGCTGTTGAGGAGGGCTCACGTCCCGCTGCTGCAGGGCTCTTGATTTATGAAGCCCACAGATTCAGACTCTTCCAAAGCCAAGGAGGTTTCCGTAGGAGGATGAGGTCCCACCTCTGCGTTTGAGGCACAGTGGTTGTCTTCTCCGTTGGCCTGCCAGTTAAGCGCGAATGCCGGTTCTGCTCCGGCGCCCCATCACGCTCGCGCGGAGCTTCAGAAGCGGCGCTCGGGCGGGACTCCTCCTCGCCACACGCTGCCTCTGCCGGGGCCCAATTTGGCCATGATCAGCAAGAGGATTTTCCTCTTCATGTGCGGGAGTACATCTGTACAATGAAAAGCGTCTCCTGCTGAGAGGCCTGAGTCAGAGCCGCTTTTCAAGTCCTTCCTGCGGCTGAGGGCTTTCATGTGCTCCAGCTCCAGTCAGCGCTGAACCGAGCGGGCTGCGCTCATGTGTTTCCAATAGTGCGCGCGGCCAGGGAGACCACACGCAAGAGCAGGGCTGCCGAGTCGGACCCTCAGCATGGACCCACGGACAGCTTAAAAGCAGCACAGCTTTCCTCTCCATGCTGCCTGGGGAAGGTTATTTCATTGAAAGGAAATAGTAATGATGGGAATGGAAAACGGAGCTCTGCCCATGTCCCAGCTGATGCTGTTCAATGTAGCTGCCGGCTGTGTCAGTGGATGCGCTGTCGTGTGATACGTACATTTCTGAACCTGAAATCTGTTTCATCCTTTTGTAAGGCAAAGTTTGAAAAAAAAAGTATTGGTTTCTCTCATCAGAGCTGTGGCAGGAGGAGGGGGAAACTTTTTTTTTGTGGCAGGGAAACTTTTTTTTAAACTTTATTGTTCCCAATTCCTGTCCTCCAATAAAAGAAATTCTGCTGCGCTTGTGTCCCCGGCGCTGCACAAGTCCCCCAGCTTTGCTGCTCGCTCTGCTGGGCCGTGCAGCTCTGGTGCTTTGGCTGGCTGAAGCGGTGGTTTCCCAGGTCATGGAGGCGCTGGGCCCGCAAGGAGGTCCGCAAGGTGCAACCCGCGCGGGTCAGAGCCCCTGGACCCACCGCTCCACCCAGGGGCCCTCTGGAAAAGCGGGAGCACCGAGAGGGGATTTTTTCCATAGACTAAAGATCTATCTGCTTTTCTGGGGGGTTTCTGAGGCAGTGGAATTGAGCTGCCAGGCTCCCCTAGGGAAGGATATTGTGTATTGTTAGAAGAAATGGAAACCAAACAACAAACCAACCCAGTTCCCTGAACATAACGGCAAAGGCCTTTTTTTTGCTGTGAATGGTTTGTATCCGTGGTGGGTTGGCTGGGCCCGTTGTCTTTCTCCAGCCTAGCGGAAATGCGAGCTCACCCGTGCTCCAGTGCAGGCCGATGCTTCCTCTGGAACGCCCTGGTGTTCCCTGACCGTTCCGGGGCTCCGAGTCAGCACCGTGCAGCATCGCAACTGGAGGTTCGGCGCCAGGCCACGAAGCATCCCCATTGTCACTGATCTGCATGACTTAGGCCATGAACGTGGCATTTAATAGCTCTTCTAAAAATGATAGCATCCATTCTTATTTTTCTTTCTGCTTTTTTTATCTAAATAATTTCGAGATTTGCCAAGATTTTGTCTTCTCTGGTGTTCTTTGACAATACTTTCCCCAGTCTGATTGCACAGTAAGCAGATGGAAAACCCATATTAAATGCCTGTTGGAATTTGCCACTATTTCTTTTTAATTATGATTATTTTTTGCTAATGTCATGAGCTTCCATTCCGTCCATCTGTTGTCTCTGCAATGTTTATTCTGTATATTTTTATCTTCTTCATTTGCTACTGGGGACAAAATCCCCGTGTTTTTTTCAGCTCTTGCGGTTTCTCTGCCCTTCCCTGGCTCCCTGTCCTGCACCACGCATTGAGGACGCAGCCCATGAGCACGTGCGTCACCGCGGGCTCGTGTCCCTCAGTGGGCACTGGTGCCCGTTTAGAGCCGGCTCTGCGGCTCGAGCGGAATGGACGCTGCATGGAGTCCTCACGCATTTCTGTGCTTTTTGAGGCTGGAATGGAACTCTTTGCATGTCCTGGTTGCACACAGCCATTCCCGTACTGCGGTGCTGGATGTGAATGTTCCTTATGAGGAGGTACCTGAGGGATTGCACAGCAGGTTCTGCAGCACTGCATGCTGAAAGGTGAAGGGCAGATCCTCCCGACTTGGGTGCTCTTGGATTTGCTTGCTGAAATAACTGCAGGGAATCTGGTTTTCGCTTGAGCCCCAGCTATTTGGCGTTAAATTGTGGAGGTATTTTAAAGCGGAGCTGCAAAGTTATGTAACTGTGCAGGGAGTGGTTTCTAGAGCCGACTCCAGATCTAAATTCTCTTGCTGTGTTTCTCCAATTTAGCAATTTGTTTGTTCTATATCCATGACTACGTGGCTGTGAGGAGCACGCTTTCTTCATCCCGTCTGGCTCCTGTGAGGCACTTGCAGCATTCCCAGGAATTCCAAGTCTGTTGTGATGCAGGACTGTCCGTGCGGGTCCTCCAGGCTCTCCCGTCGGAGGAGCCCTCTGTGCGGGGCTGCGGTCGCGGCGGGCGGGGCTGCCCCGCTCTGCCCCGTGCCCGGCCGCGCTGCCGCAGAGCCCGGCCTGGGGCTCGGGAGGTGCCGAACGCTGGATCATCAAACCCATTTCCTACCACTGGTTACCCTTCCGGCAACATGCTAGATCTTCAAACAGTTTCCTACCGCCAGAGTCACCCTTTCGGGCAACATGCTAAATCTTCAAACCCGTTTCCTACCACCAGTTACCCTTTCGGAGCAATGACCTCAATTTCCTGTTGACGCAGCTTGTTGGTGGGTTCATATCTATGATTCTGTCTGGGACAGGGATCACCCCACAACGTTATATCTATGCGTTTCTGTAGCTTTTGCTTTGCGCCTCGGTAGCCATAAAGCTTCTAATGAAGCCTTTGGGCTTTGCAGGACTGGTGAGGTGCCGATGAAGAGGCCACATCCCTCTGTGATCGCCAAGTCTTTCCTTCCCAAACGCTGATACGGAAGGATCGACCTTGCAGCTCGTGCATTATTCATCCTCCCGTTAGGCCAGTTGTCACTGTTCTGTTGTCACTGCTGCCTGTCTGTGATCCTAGTAGAGCTCATTAATATCTCTAAGGCACTTTGGGATTTTTGGATGGCAGAAGTGCAGATGGTGGCAGAGATCTGTGTTTTAACAGCAAATGCTGAACCAGTTAACGGTGAGACTATTTCTTGTAATGATTGTAAGGTGATAAGCCAGTGAAAAATCACCGTCAGCAGCGGCAGGTAGCGATGCCTCCGAGAGCTGTGCGGGCTGCGCCGCTCCGTGCGGGGGACGCCCCTTCCCGCTCGGACGGGGCCGCGCTCCGAGTCCCGCGCCTGCCCGAGGACGTCCCTGCCGCGCGGCCCCGCAGCGCGACTTCCAGCCTGCCTGTACCTGAAAACAGGAACACATCAGAGAGTGGAAACAACTCCCACCAGCCATTGAACTGAACAAACAGCAGCTCTTGTAAGCATTTCTTAACTTGATGTGCAGAGAGATGTTGCCAAGGGAAAAAGATCCCCTTCTGGTGGAAGTTAGTTGGTGGCGCGGGGATGTGAGCTCTTTTATGGTTACCCCCTCAACAGCTTTTAGGAAGCTGGATTTTCAGCGGTCGGGAGTCGTGCTGGCCTTGCAGCCTCCCTTGCTCGGGGATGCCGCCCCGCGCTCGCTCCGTGGCGCTGCCGCTATTTCTGTTGGTCTGGTTCTTTTTAACGAGGACACCTGTGAACTGGAGCGGTTTTGGGTGGGAAGTGGCAGCTGGGGAATGAGGATCTGCCGCTATTCCTCACCCAGGGCCCTCAGCCCGAGCTGAGCCCAGCAGTCACTGCGGGATCAGCGGGGCCTCGTCTGGCCCAGGCTGCTGACGCAGAGGTGCCGCGGTGCTGCCGAGGGCTCTGCAAACTGGTGTTCCGGGAAGCAGTGCGCGAAGCCGGGATCCTGCAGCGCGGTGTTCCCGGGAGCAGTGCGTGTAGCTGGGATCCTGCACCGCGGTGTTCCCGGGAGCGGTGCGCGTAGCCGGGATCCTGCACCGCGGTGTTCCCAGGAGCGGCGCGCGTAGCCGGGATCCTGCAGCGCGGTGTTCCCGGGTGCGGCGCCCGCAGCCG